TAGGTGACCTGGGCGTTGGCGCCCGCGTCTGTGTCTGTGGCGCTGACGCTGCCGATGTGCAGGGCGGGGCTGTTGTTCTCGCGGACGAACAGGGTGTAGGAGGTTTGGGTGAAGGCCGGAGCGTTGTCGTTGACGTCGGAGACCAGTACCGTTATGTTGTGCTGGGTTTTCAGCCTGGGGGTCCCCAAGTCGGTGACGGTGATGGTGATGTTGTACTTGTCTCTACTCTCTCTGTCCAACGGCCCTTCTGTTACGACCTTGTAGAAATTCTCAACAGAAGGTTTTAGCGTGAAAGGAACATTTTGCTGGATGGAACAAAGCATCCTCCCATTTTCCCCAGAGTCTCGGTCTTGAATACTGAAAAGAGCTATCGTTGTCTCTGGGGAATTTTCTGGGATGGCGCTTATAAGTGAAGCCACCGTCAGTTCTGGGCTGTTGTCGTTTACGTCCACCACCTGTATTATGACGGTGCATTTCCCAGAAAGACCTGCTCCATCAGAGGCCTTAATATCCACTTCATATGACACAATTTTTTCAAAATCTAGTTTCCTAATTATTTTAATTTCTCCCGTGAGTTCATCAAGTGCAAATGTCCTAGTAATCTCTTCATCACCATAAAAAAATGAGTAGAATACTTCACCGTTTATTCCCGTGTCTAAATCTCTCGCGGAAACAGTAACAACAAGGGATCCCAGAGGACTGTTTTCCAGCATCTGCACATGATAGAGTGGCTGCATAAACTCAGGGGCGTTGTCATTGATATCCAAGACATCAATGAGGACCAGGGTGGTGCCAGTTTGGGGAGGAGCTCCGCCATCGACTGCCATGAGAGTCAACCTGAGCTCGGGCTGCTCCTCTCTATCTAGGGCTTTGTCCAGAACCAGCTCTGGGTATTTTCTGCCTTCACTGCCATTTCGGGTAAGAACGTGGAAATGGGAGTTGGGGTAGATAGTGTAATTTTGTATGTTATTGATGCCTACATCCAAATCTTGTGCATTTTTCAGGGGAAACACAGTCCCTGGAATAGTATTTTCCATAATTTTCAAAGTCATTTCTGCTTCTGGGAATACTGGTGAATTGTCATTTACGTCACTGACCAAAAGCTTAAATCTATATACCTCCAAAGGGTCTTCCAGTAACACCTGGAATTGCAGCACACAAGGCTCAGTGGGGCCGCACAGATCTTCCCTATCCAGTTTCTCATTTACTTGTAAATCGCCAGTCTGAAGGTTCAGCTGGAAATGCTTTCTGTTGTTATTGAAAACGATCCGAGCCTTTCGCCAAGACAGCTCTCTAACCTCTAGCCCTATGTCCTTTGCTAGATTGGCCACAAAAGAACCACTCTCTGTTTCTTCTGCAATACTATAACCTTCCTGCTCCGCGCAAGTCTGAGCCAGCAAAACAAAGAGAAGCAGGACTTGCCTTAGTGTAGGAAAGCGCTCCTCTTCAGCCTCCATTTCTCCGTCGCAAAAGTCTTTAGGGTGTCTGTTGGGTCTGCAGGCAGTCGGCTCTGGGAGTCAATCTTTGCCGCAATGTAATTCTGTTAAGAACTCTCTATCTTAGATCTGTGTATGACTGCTGGAACAGTAACCATCCTCAGGTCTGTTTCTCAGCCTTAGCTCAGAGCGCCACCATGTGTTGTACTTAAGCCTAGTTTGCTGGAAATGCTACAAAACGTATTCCACTTGAGATGTATGCAAACACACACAAAAACCCACCACAGATGACATATATAGGGTGGTTTATAAATAAAATGATAACCATTATTTTCATGTGAGGTTATGAATGTGGAAATGGTGCCAGATATTTGGGAAATGATGTAAGAACAAAGTTAACTATATTTATTTGTTTATTCAACAAAACTCATTGATTTCATATTAAATGTCAGGCACTGTACTAAGTGCTGGGAATACAAATATCTTCTTTGACATCATGGAGTTTACAATATAATGTCTACTATTTTTATAGTTTGTACTCTGATGGGAAATTGAGAAGAAGATATGTAGCTATCAGTCTACTCCTAAAGAAAAAATATACACTATTAAACTCTCAGTTCACTGCCAATATAGTAGATGAAGAGATTCATTTACATGTTTCAGGACTATAAACTGAAGCGATAGACCAGCTACAACTGGATTATTATGCAAACCCAATAGAGAGCTTAAAGGGTTATGGATAACTTACTTGTAAATATTGTCTAAGGGAATGTCTTCATACCTCTGTAAACATGTTATACTGACTATTACATTATCTAAAAATAATTTGTAAAGAACCTCTACATCTATTACTAAAATTAAGATAAACACAACATGTTGAAGCTGAGATTTCACAGCGATCTTGAAAAGTGGAAAAGTCAAGATCACAAGCATAAAGGGATGAAGTTACAGCAAAAACTAAAGTGCAGAAGAAAATAAGTTAAATTAATCTGAAATAGCAAGTTAAACTTATTCCCAACTATGAAAGATCACAACTTCTTTTTAGTAAGCAACTCACATATCTCTTATGGATAGCTTGAGACCCTGGCACCCTAGCATGGAACTGAAGTTCTTTTACTCCTAAGGATGGGAAAAATATCTTGGGGTCAGGGGCCTTGGGTCTCCCCAACTGTACCAAACATTATCCAATATTTTAATAATGTTTAAATAATAGACTGTATCATGTATTCTGGCATCCCAGTTACCTGGATAACTGGGAAAACTTAGCATGGGCCAACTGTAATCATTGTTCTAAATATTGTTTTAATTCTATTAAGATGTAAATCACTTAAATTGACATTCTATTTTAGAATATTTTCCTCTACATGGTGAAAGAAATACAAGTAAAACTTCAAACTATGAGAACATGCTGGTTACAGTTAAACTCTGATCATTTTCCTCATGGAAAGATCTCAGTTGTGGATAAAAACTATTATGGAATTAAATGTGCAAAAAAATGTTCCCTTAATGTTCATGCCTTTTAAAATATTAGTGGATAGAAGCTGGTTATTTATGTCAGGGAGCAAATGGATCAAAATCAGCTTTTCATTCCCATCTGTCATCTCTCAGATTACATTTATCCTTATTTTTCTCTTCTAAGGAGAAAACTTTAAGCCTGTAGGCTTGGCAGGAAGCTTGAAATTTTCTTCATGAGGCTTTCTAGTGATAGAGTATGTGTCAATCAAATAGTTACTACTCTTAATGAAATAATGAATCAACCCATATAATATATAAATTGGATTATTTGTAGATTCTGAAGATTTTATATTACATTATAAAATAATTCTGTTCACATTTAACCCAGTAAATAATTTTTAAAAGAAATAGGTGCTAAGGAGGTTATGATGATTCTGAGAAAAGGTGTAAACACCCAAACCATAACAAGTTCAAAGCTACTTTTTAAAACTGACCCAGGGGCACATAAAATAATGGAGGGAAACCTGTTAACAAGTCATTACATAAAACCCTTTGTAGCATTTTTCTGTTAAATTACTTACAAAATTAAGTTTTATAACAAAATTCTCTAGATTATCTCTAAGCTTGTACATTTTTTATTCTATTTATTGATTAAGTTAATATTAGAAGGAATCAGGAACAGATAGGTCTAGGACCAAGTAGTTGTCTTGGTCTCTACTTATTGTTTATTAGGTTTCTACCTACTCTACTCCCTTATGCCCTCTCACCTTTAGTCTTTCCTTCCTCCCTACTTACATCCCTCTCTCAATGCCGTTCTGTGCTGCCAGCTTACACAGGAATAAACAAGGCTACTTCACTCCATGCTTTACATTTATTTCCTACTTACAAGCAAGCAAGGAAAAAATAGATACACTAAACCTTAATTGCCAATTTTAGGGTTTAGAGAATGTGGCTATTCCTGCTTTAATCAGGCGTCTATTACTGGGCCAATCAAAAATTGTCGCGAGGTAAAGAAAAATAGAGGAAACATCTTCATAGTGATTACCTCTCTTGGGTGGTACCAGGAAGTTTGAAGATAAGAAATGTGGGCTGGATAAATAAATGCCTTAATCCAAACAAGATCAGAATTTATTTTACTACAACACCTGCCAGCAATATATACAGTTGACAAAATATTAATGCAGAAAAATACCTAAACACAGAAAAATTTCTCTGGAATATTTGGCAGAAGAGTAGAATGGAAAGATTGATTATACTTTTAAAAAATCTTTAAAAGGTAACAGATTAAAACCCAACCTAACCAGATGACAAAGCAATTGTGTTTTTATTCATACCATGAATTTTCCTCTATAATAGTACTATCAAACACATAAAAAACTGTTTTGGTAAGAGGATCTATGGCCCACAAAACCCAGACAATATGATTGACCTGAGTGCACAATTAAGCTTCAAGGGAAAATGCTGTATATTTGAATAAATTATTTAAGGTTGCATTTTGGTAGAAAAACTAAGCAAATCCTAGTTCCCTTAGTTTTTTCATAGCTAGTATCTAGAGCAGGAAATAGACTTAAATTATTGAAACTTCTGAAAACTCTTAAGTCATCCAAATGAGGATATTACATTACAATGAATAAATTTTACAAAGCAATGGAACTCATTCTAAAAGTTCTGCATAATAATCAAATCCCTAATTGAAACCAAAGCCATTCAGAAAGGTGTGGCTTTCCGCCCTTTCAGTGCTCAGCTGCGGGAGGTTAGAGATGGCAGGTTTAAGGAACTTGAACTCGTTGGTACCTGAGCCTCCGGTCAGACACACCTCATACTGGTAGCTGTGAGACAGGGTCCCGGTGCCGCCGATGTCCACCAGGTGGCCCGGAAAGTGGCCCTCGGGCACTGAGCAGCCACCCAGCGAGGCGGCCCTGCCCCTCCTGCACAGCCGCACCGCGATGAACGCCAGCACCGAGAACAGGAAGAGCGACGACACCGACGCCAGCGCGATGACCAGGTAGACCGTGAGCGGGTCGGCCCGCGCCGGGTCGGCCGCCGCTTCGGGCAGCGGCAGGTAGGGCTGCGAGAAGCCGTCCACCAGCAGCACGTGCAGCGTGACGCTGGCCGACAGTGGCGGCTCGCCATTGTCCTTGACCAGCAGCAGCAGCCGGTGCTTGGCCGCGTCGCGCTCGCTCAGCAGCCGCGCCGTGCGCACCTCGCCGTTGTGCGCCCACACGCCGAACAGCCCGGGCTCCGTGGCCTTGAGCAGCTGGAACGACAGCCAGGCGTTCTGGCCCGAGTCGCCGTCCACCGCCACCACCTTGCTCACCAGGTAGCCCGGCTCGGCCGCCCTGGGCACCAGCTCGGTGCAGGGCGCGGAGCCGTTCTGCAGCGGGTACAGCACGAAGGGCGCGTTGTCGTTGGCGTCCAGCACCAGCACGCGCACCAGCGCCTGGCTGCTGAGCGCCGGGGAGCCGCGGTCCGTGGCGCCCACGCGGAACTCCAAGGCCTGCAGGGCCTCGTAATCCAGCGCCCGGAGGGCGAACAGCTGCCCGTTGTCCGCATTGATGGACACCAGGGAGGCCAGGGGCAGGTGCGGGTCGTGTGGCGGCAGCAGCAAGTAGGTGACCTGGGCGTTGGCGCCCGCGTCTGCGTCTGTGGCGCTGACGCTGCCGATGTGCAGGGCGGGGCTGTTGTTCTCGCGGACGAACAGGGTGTAGGAGGTTTGGGTGAAGGCCGGGGCGTTGTCGTTGACGTCGGAGACCAGCACCGTTATGTTGTGCTGGGTTTTCAATCTGGGGGTCCCCAAGTCGGTGACGGTGATGGTGATGTTGTATTCGTTTCTGGTCTCTCTATCCAGTGGGCGCTCTGTTACCAGAGTGTAGAAATTCTTGAAAGTGGGCCGCAGGAGAAAGGGGAGATTGTCCTGAATTGAGCAAACCATCCTCCCGTTGGCCTCAGAGTCTTGGTCTCGTACACTAAAAATAGCGACCACCATCTCAGGTGTTGAATTCTCCGGGATGGGGCTGGTAAGAGATGTGATGACTATTTCTGGTGGATTGTCATTCACATCTACGACCTGAACTAAAATCGTTGATTTTCCCGAAAGGCTCCCACCGTCAATGGCCTGAATGTTAATTATATAAGACTGAATTAACTCGAAATCCAGAAGTGCTTTTAAATGGACTTCGCCGGTAATTGGATGGAGTTCAAATGTTTTCCGTATGTCTCTGGAGACGTGGGAAAATGAATAAGACAGTTCTCCATTTATCCCTGCGTCTAAATCTGTAGCAGACACCTTGACGACCAAGGAGTCCAGAGGGCTGTTTTCTGGTACCTGGACCTCATAGACGGGCCTCTCAAACTCTGGGGCATTGTCATTGATATCTAAAACCAAAACACGAACCATTGCAGTTCCCGACCTGGGCGGAGACCCGCCATCTAAGGCTGTTAGCGTTAATCTAAGCTCAGGCTCCTTTTCTCGATCCAGAGATTGGTCCATTACCAGCTCTGGGTATTTTCTGCCCTCATCACTCACTTCTAATTTAAGGTGGAAATGGGGATTGGGACTTAAGGTGTAGTTTTGGACACCATTCTTTCCTACATCCAAGTCCTGAGCACTCTCCATTTGGAATGAGGTTCCTGGAGCAGTGCCTTCTGGGATTTTCAGTAGTACATCTTTATCTACGAATGTGGGCGTGTGATCATTAATGTCTCTGACCCAAAGTTCAGCCCGAAAAAATTGCAATGGATTTTCAAGCAACACCTGGAAATACAATATACATGGCTCTGTGAGGTCACAAAGTGCCTCCCGGTCCAGTTGCTCATGTAAGAGCAAGTTGCCTGTCTGCCGATCCAGCCACAAGTATGGTTTATAATCATCAAAGATGACTCTGGCATTCCGAGCAACCAGGTCTTCCACACCTGAACCTATGTCTTTCACCACGTTGGCAATAAAGGAGCCGGTCTCTGTTTCTTCTGCCACGGAATAGCGCCAGGTCTCTGAACACACCAAAGACCCTCCCAGGCAAACAAAGAAAAGCAGCACTTGCCTTATCTGCTGACGGATCCCCTCTCCCAGCGCCATGGCTCCTTAGCCAAACGTCTTTCTGCGGAAATGTTTCAGCTCAATCTCAAACAGCTTTGGGAATCGCTCCTCTCATCTATCAGCCAGGAAATTCGGGAATCTATAGACTTGAAATCCTGTCGCGAGGGTGGTGTTGGCTGCCTGGTTTTCTCTTGAAAGCCACCCTTTTCCTCCCTGCTTCTCCAGCGCTCTCAGTCTCACAGGTTAATGGAAGCCAGGACTTCATACGGTTCAAAAATTTCCCGGTCTTATCCTGCAGCGCCACCACGCGACTCTGCAGATTCTCATGTTTTAAACAAAGTCAAATAAGGTTGAGGCAAAATATTACTTTATCTTGTGTGTTTGTTGATTAATTTTAATTATATTTTCTCCTATATTTCTATTTTCTGAGTTGCATTGTTTGTGATATGTGATGCTATTATTATTCAGTCAATAACACAATAAACCACAATCCACTAGAGTTGTGGTGGATGTAAAAAGTATATTTAAGATATAGCCCCAACCTCAAATGTTATGATCTCTCTGTGAAGACAATATATAAAACAACTGAAAATCGTTAAGAGGACTCCTTTATGTAATTGACTGAGTGAGCAAGAGGTCCCCAGGAAAACTGGAAATAGGAAAGAGAGGTCTTAGTTGTCTCTAGCTGTCAGCAAATACTCTTAGAAAAGACAGTAACAATAAGGTCATGCACTTGAAACTGAACCTGGTATATGCAAATAGTTGTCTGGGGAGGGTAGACATTTCAGGCTGCGTAAATGGTACATTTATTTAGGGTCACTCCTTGGGAAACTTATCTGGCAGCAGTAAAAAGTAAATGCTCAACACTAATGAATAAAGTAAGATACATCCAGTTTCTGACAAATTTTTAAAAAATTGAACAAACTAGGCCCCAGTTTAGCTGTGGAACTGAATTCTCTTTTGCAGACACAGGCCTTCCAGAGGCATAATTCTAAATATTTTATTCATCCACTCATTAATTTGTTCAGCAAATATTTATTAAGCATATATTTTGTGCTAGTCATGGTGATACATGTTAGGGACAGAGTGGTAAACAGACAGACATAGTTTCTGTCCTGAAAGTTGGAGGCAGAAAAGTGATCATACATTAAAAACAGAGCATAAGGAATGTGATGATAGCAAAAAATTCATGCTACTGTAAGAGCATAGATAAGGGTCATCTAACCAGAATTTGGAAGTACAGGAAAGACTTTTCTGGAAAAAGTTTACTCTAAATTGATATATGAAAGATGAATATAAGTAACCAAACACAAATTGGGTGTGTGGTAAAATTTCCAGGCAAACTAAAGACATGATTGTGCGAAATCAAAATGACTAAAGTGTTTTGGAATAATTGAAATAGGATCAATATGGCTGAGCCATGGAACAAAGAGAAAATAAATGGTAGGAGTTAATATTGGAAAGATCCACAAACATTTTGTAAGTCGTGCCAAGGCATTTGGACTCTACATCAATGGAAATTCAAGATTATTAAAGAGTTTTAAATACAAAAGGGACATGACCATGTTTTTATTTTTCAAAAGAGCATCCTATTTCAGAATTAAGAATAAATGAGAGAGGAGGAAGACTACAGGCTACAGACTGATTAGAAGTTGTTACAGTAATACAGGTAAGAGATGATATTGTCCTCAACTAGAAATGCAGTAATGGGGTTATATTAGAATGATGAAGATAAGATATATTGGATGTGGTGACAGATCAGACATAGATGGACTGGGGTAAGAAAAATTGAAAGTCGGGCCGGCAGAGTGGCACGTTGGTTAAGAGCTGGCTTGGGATGCCAGAGGGCCCCGGTTCAGATCCCACATATGAGGGCCAGTGACACTGCCCTCTACAGCTAAGATG